CTTACCCTAACCTAACCATCCCCAGGTAGTATTAGATCGATTAATCATCATCAGGTGAAATAAGCTGGGATGTCTAGTCTTCAGGTAGTAATAAGTGTCGACATTCAAACGTAATTTTCCGAACAGCAGCAAATAAAAACATCGAAAGACTCAAATCTCTGTATATTGTGCAGACACATCCATCAATAGCCTGATAATGAAGTTACTGCATTTTTTAAACAGGAAAACTACGATTCTAGGCTTTAATTAACGAAATAATGAGTCACTGCCTCAAGGGCTTCGGCTTACTAGTGTGTGACGTCATCAATGATTCCCTGTCAGCATCCAAACTTACGTACTGCAGTGAACTCGTGTCCCAACTCCCACGACTTTAGTTAATATTTTCTGTTGCTGGAGTGATGGTACTGTAATACCTCATCCTTATCCCTATGTCAGATCCCTTCCCAGTCTTATCCTATCTTTCACTAGAGGGTTGTAAGCCTGTTTCACACGAACTATGATTAGCTGTTGGGATCATAGGATTATGTCGCTGGTAAGGATAATTTCTGTCCAGGGGATTATCATAAACCTGAGTCATAGGAGACTCTGAGATGTAGGTAGGACATGTTTGGGTATATACAGTTTCGGCAGACGAAGCATTTAACCCTTTGGCGACGATGTTTTAACCATTTGGCGACGATGTTTTAATCTTTTGACGACGATGTTTTAACCTTTTGGCCAACAAGTGAATAGTGACCTGTGTGAAATATAACCACCTCTGTATATCCGAGATGCACACGTGATAACTGCACAAACCTGTCGTCTGACCCGTGAAGGAGAAAGTGAGAATTTCATCAGCTCTGTGGTCGGTCTAACACTAGTAACTGCACGCGACTCAGACGATGATGAGCTGCAACAACTAGATATTAAGAAGCTGGTCGGTTTTATGCGACACGTGTAGATAGAACTTACTAGGTTAAAAATAAATCAAGACGCAGCTGAAAAGAACGATACTTAGGCTGCTAGCTTGGAGTTTACAGATAACTTATCTTCCACCACCACCAGCCTTCAAGAGATGCACATAACTCGTTAGTTGTTGGCTTGTGGTGCTGATCCAGACGAAGATCCACCAACAACTGCAGGTGGTCCTCAAACAAAAGCCACAAAGATTAAAGAAGAGAAGCTAATGTGAACGACCAGCAGCACAAGGTCATCATCATTCTGCTCAACGAAAACAGAACAAAGTGACCCCTGTAGTAACTCAGTGCTTTAATATTGAAGACACCCAACCTGAATACACAGCAACACCTCAAAGCTTAACCCCAAGTACCACTCCATAACCAGCTGGTGTAGAACGCCAATTGTCACACTTACCGGCGCACAACACTATATGGTTTACCACTACAACAAAGGGAGATGATCCTATGTAAAACAACCACTAAGCCACGACGAGCAACTACCATGCAACACCAAGGAACAGTTAGCTAACACAACAGCCAACAATCAAGACATTAATAAACACAGATCTCACGGAACTAAAAAAATTTAATTAAAAAAAAAATACAAGAGAAATACAACAATAATTATAACAGCACCAGGAACACCTTGATAGGGTCTGTCGTAGATAGAAAACGGGAGAAGAGTGACAGACAAGACTGATTAAGAAACTCCATCAGTCAAGAGCCTCACCCAACCCATCAAGCCTGTCAACCACCACAAGGGTGTCCACATGACCCATAGTTCTACTCCTGGCAGTACGACTCACCAACACGAGGAGCGACATAGGAACCTTTCAGCTACAGCTATATAGATCCTCCGCTATTTTGGGACCCAAGACGTAACACAACACCCTATGGCATAATGACAAGGAGAAGGAGGAAGAGGATAATGACGAAGAAAATAACGAATTACTGACCCTCTCACTCATTCTCGAGTTATTTTGGGAACAGACACACACACACACACACACACAGACAGCAGGTGCGGGCAAGATAATAACCACAACGGAAATCATTAGACGTAGCTTATCCTCAGAGCTCGAAGACAACTTGAGCAGGTACAGTACACACTCACCTGTCCCCACCTGTCATATCACTCCTCCATACAAATATAGAAACCAATCTGTTACATAACGTAGAATTATATCAGAGGAATCAAATTTGTCAATGGACATACCGCTACATCCCTCTGAACTTGAGGTAATGGGGAATAATTACCGCAGCATATATCACCCAATACTTAATTACATATAAATATAACTAGAATACAATTTAAGGATATCACACCTTTATACACTAACATCTCCAACTCTCAACAGACTAATGCTATAACACCTGAATCGGTTACCTGTAATTTCCAACAAGTATCAATTCAAGTATTGTAGTCATTCTTAAATAAGGGTTTGGTTAAATATTTAAACATTAAGGTAAGTTTGGTAGTACTTAATGACCAAGGGTTTGTAAAATGTAGGAACTGGGATGGATAAATAACACTATAGTTGGGTTTGTTTTTAGCTCATTGACTCGTACATAATAAAGTATTCGATTAATATTGATATGGTATATAAATCCACCACTTCTGGCTCACTTTAATGTCAACTTTAGTGTATGCAAGTATATACCTGCTTGTAAACATTAACCTTCAAGATAGGAATGAAAGATAAAGTTTAAAATTAAGAATATTTACCGTCGAAGTCAAACAAATTCACGCTTTTGGAAAACACATTCGCCATTATTTCTTCTCTTTTCACAAATTATAATGTACATCAAACATATAAATCAACAGATAACTAACACCACATATCCACGTAAAGGTTGAGGTTTACGACTACCCTTACGGAGGCGGTAGTGAGCTTGGCGGAGAACCAGTTACACCCTTACATACATTAAAGTGAGCCAGAACTGAGTATCCTTAACAGTTATATATGAATTCATTTACCATATCAATATTAATAGATTATTATATACGAGCCAACGAGCGGCAAGGGGTGGCGGGGCTTGTACCGTCGGCTAAATAAAAAAATCTGATTATAGTTTTGTTATATATAGATGGTTGGCAAGTGTCTTGGTGTCTTAAGTAGATGGTTAGAGTGTATTTAGGGAAGGGATGTGTCTTGTTGTAGAGGTTTTAAAGATGAGAGGTGAAGAAGAGAGACAAGAGAAATAATTCTGAAGAGAAGAAAGACATTACAGAATACTGGTTAGATATAAGAGAGAGAGAGGGAATAATAGACGTAGAGGGAACGAGACAGACAGACAGACAGACAGACCGACAGACAGACAGATAGATAAGATGGGGGGAAACAATGGTGTCGAGAGAGGAAAGAGAGAGATAGAGAGAGAGAGCACCAGCAGCCCCCGGCAGCTGGTACACCATCTATCAGGTGACCCATCTCGGAGATTAACTTCCGCCATATGTCTTTATCGCCTCCAAGGTGGTGCTGCTTCTTCCGCCCCCTCTATCTCCTCCAGCCCCCTGCGACTCCTCCAGCCCCCTGCGACTCCTCCTCCCCTCCCCTCTCCTCATCCCCCCCTCCCCTGCTCCCCGCCTCTTCGTCCCCTGTAACTCGGGCCCCCGCCTCTTGCCACGCCCCTGGCCTGCGCCTCCCACCCCCCTGCATCTCCTCAGGCCCCTGTCCCTGCCTCCTCCATGCCACCTCCTCCCCTGTAACCCCCCCTGCTCCTCCCCTCCCCTGCTCCTACTCCTCCCCCTCCTCCTCTGTAACTCCTCCGGCCTATGCTCCACCCCTATCCTCCCCCCTCCTGCCCTGTAACTCCTCCACCCCTGTGCTCCGCCCCTGTAACTCCTCCGCCCCTGTATATATGGGAGAAGGTGAGAGGTGTATATAGGGGAGGTGGCGGAGGAAGAGGTGAACGGGAGGAGAAGGGAGTGGCGGAGAGAGGAGGAGGTGGCGGAGGAGGCGGAGGAGGAAGAGGTGGCGGAGGAGGAAGGGAGTGGGGGAGGAAGGAAGGGATGGCGGAGGAGGAAGGGGTGGCGGAGGAGGGAGGCAGGAGGAAGGAGGGGAGGAGGAGGGACGGAGGAGGGGGTGGAAGGAAGGAAGAGGGATGAAGAGAAGGGAGGTGGTGGAGGAAGAGCGGAGGGAGGAAGGGGTGGTGGAGGAGGAAGGGTGGCGGAGGAGAAGAGGCGAAGGAGGGAGTTGGCAGAGGTGAGGAAGGAGTAGGGTGGCGGAGGAGGAGGAGGAAGAGGGGGATGGCGGAGGGAGGAAGGGGGAGGAGGGGAAGGGGGGTGGAGGGAGGAAGGAGTGGCGGAGGAGGAAGGGATGGCGGAGGAGGAAGGGGTGGCGGAGAAGGAAGAGGTGGCGGAGGAGTTGGCAGAGGTGGTGAAGTAGGTGGGACAGCCTGTGTAGAATGATCAATAAACAGGAAATAAAGGAATGAAAAGAATAAGAAAGATTGAAGAATAATGCACTTTAAAAATCTATCTCATTTCTCTGCCTGAAAACATCAATACAGACTCGTAATTAAGTATTGAAACAGGTGAATAAGAGAGAGAGAGAGATCGAGAGAGAGAGAGAGAGAGAGAGAGACATACAGAGATCGAGATCGAGAGAGACTGACTTTTAATTAAAGTGCCATAGACAGTGTAAGTCTTGTCACCCGAGGTATTGTTATTTACCAGTAACAGGCGACACAACACCACCCCATCCTCCCTGTGTCTGACTGTCTCCACAACACATGGATAAATTCATATTCTAGACCTGCCTCCCTCTCTCTCTATGGTGCTATTTCTCTGTCTCTAGGTTGCTCTCTCTCTCTCTCGTCAATATGAATAGCCTCACCCAACCCATCCCCTTGATCCTTCTCTAACATCGACGGAAACAAAATCTCATAGTTTTTGACTCATAACAGCAATACTGTATCTCCTCGCCTCATCACAGTAACCTTAATCCATTGGTCTCTTTCCCTCACCATCGACGTAAAGTCACTCATTCTAACAGACTTTACCTCATAATAACTACACCTATATCGTCGTATTACAATAAACAAACCTTTCTTCCTCAGTATCGACGGGAGGAGCGGGCCGATCAAGAGAGCTCCTCATTGGTCAGACGAGGAGACTCTGGGACCACGAGCCTACTTCGACATGGCGGCTGACCCACCCGGCCTCGTACTCCAGTCGGTGAAGGCCAGTGATCATGCTGAATACCGCTGTAGGGTCGACTTTCGCTCCTCCCCCACCAGGAACGTCAGGATACAGCTGGAGGTCATTGGTGGGTATGAACGACTGAAACTCAACTAAACCTATTGTGATAGGTCAATGTTAGAGAATAGTAATTTGGGGTCAGATAGGTTAAAAAAAGGTCAAGGGTAAACTCTAGTATTATTAAAAGGTCAGTAGCCTAGGGTCAAAAGGTCAACAAATTGAAGTTAGATTAGTTATTAAGCTCTCAATGAATTTAGGTTAAGTGGTAGTAAGCGGATGTTAAATGTAAATCGTGTTTGAAAGTTGATAAATTAAAGTCAAGTGTTGGTAACTTTAAGTTAAAGGTCATAACCGTGTAAAAACTTAAGAACTTCATGGTTGACGTTACTAGTTAAGATCAACAGCAAATAAGTTCATGACAAATATCCGCAAGTGAGAACAATTGACAGTAACTTATGGTAAATGAATCACAAGTTAGGGTTAAATAGAAATCAATTAATCAAACTCATTACTGTTATTACTAATACAAACACACACACAGTGGTTCACTCTGATATATTTCCACCCCATTAGTATACCTGACGTGGTGCTGGCAGGCGATAAATTAGTTTTTTGTACGTTGACAGGTCCTAGTGTGTTAGCCATGCTCTGGTGGAAGGTAACAATGGTAGAACTTGTTAGTGTTGTATGCTGGAGTATTGTTTCACCAGTTAGAACTTGTTACCTCTGTATTAACACTGATTCATTTTGCTTGTTTGTAAACCTTGAGATGGATAATTTGCTTTTCTTCTTGAGAGAGTATTGTGTTATTAATGGGGTGTCGTTATCGCGGGGTGTCTGTGTATTTGTCAGTTCAGGAGTCTGTAAGCAAAACTACCTACAAAAATCAAATCAAATAGAACTTTTATTTATAAGCTAATATAACCTCTCTAGTGTGTCGGATACATCCTTAGGTACCTTCAGTATGTTTCTGTATCCTTATAGTGTCTTGTTGTATCTTACCTACAGTGCCGCCCAAGAAGATCAAGATCCTGAGCGAGGCGGGGCTGGAGGTGAGCGGTGTCATTGGGCCGTATCCTGTGGGTGCCTCCATCTCCCTCGACTGCCAAGTGGAGAGCGGTGAGTCTTACCTGTGTGAAGATATACCGTACTGTCATAGAAAGTGTAATAATTCTTTTTTTCTAAGTTCAATTAAAATATATAGAGTAATGCAGAAGAAATTCTCCCAGGTAGCCGATGACGTCATTTGAGGTAGAGAGAAGAGGAAATTATATGAAACACTTAACCTTATGGGAGAAATAAATTAATAAGAATACAAAGTTAACATTATTATATTCTATCATGTTGTTGCTGTATGCTTGGGTAACCTCCTGGACTCAGCACATAATACCAAACAATATCAAACGAGCAAAAGGACTCACTCTTCACATTGTTCATCAACACAAAGATAAACTACAGGAGGGCTTTATAAGTGTGCCTAACTAGTCCAAGGCCATGCTGAAATACGAAAGGGTGATGGGTGATAAAGAAATGCCCACGGTTACCAATACAAGGGGTACCAACACATCACCCTGTACTACTCCTCCCTGTTAAGAACTTAATCCAATAGTCTTTTACACTAAGGACATTGGCTCTCAGTAGCACTCGGATAGATAGGTAGGTAAATTTGCAGTTTCAGCCCCAACTACTATTCGATCACAATTTTTTTGCTTTTCCCATGGCATATGGCCTTCATTTCCTTCGTGAATAAGTCGTTGTGGAGTTATCCCCCCCCAGAACCTGACCTAACCAAAGAAACCTACCTAACCTTACCCAACTTCCTAGCCCTCCCCGCCATAAACAAAGGTAAAATTGCAGTTTCGGCCAATATGCCCTAGTAATTTAGAAATTAGCTTATCCTGTGTATTTAATTTGCGATTTAATCGAATTTGACCTTTATTTCCGGGTGAAAGTACCCTCCTTAGAGTTATCCCCCCCCCCAAAAAAAAAAATAATAATAATGAATAAATAAATAAAATAAAATAAAAAGTATGAACAAATAAATAAAATTTAATTCCAAAGTTATTCTATGCCCCCTGGTTGATATGGGGTTAGAAATACTCCAATTAAGGAGTCGTGCCTAACCTAACTTAATTTAAACTAACCAAACCTAACCTAGGTAAAATTGCAGTTTCGGCCATGCCCTAGTATAGAAATTAGTTTATCCTGTAAAATTATGGAAAAACTTTAAAATTCATTTCCGAAGTTATTATTCTTTGCCCTCTGGTTGAAATGGTGTTAGAAATACTCCAAACAACAATGCAATTAATGGACAAGGGACAATGGCTAAAAATAAAAAAAGGATAAACACATCATATGACAGTTGGAATTAAACACTACAGGAGCTGGATAACAAACATAATCACCAATAACCATGAACCTTTGACAACACGCATACATACATGACATTACCTGTGAACGAGTTACTGCACCACGTGTTTGTTGTTGAACACCTCAGCGCACCTGGCCCTACCTGACCTCACAACAGCAGGGGCATTAGACCAGCCCCTGACATGCACTGTAAAAAATAACTTGTTTGTTCACTTCATGTTCTATTTTTTCTTTTTTTACAATGAAAGCTTTTTTTTAATGGCCCACTCCCCTTTGTCACTCTACGTAATAAGTCACTTCTTTCCATTGTGTATTTTCACCATTTGGCTGCTGTACCCTTACCAATAAACCATTACATATTATTATTACATACATACATTTATTAAGTAAAATCACCATACACCCCACATAGCCCACACAGACAGTTGAGACACACAATCTAGGCCAAACAGTAGGTCGACTCAGCCAAGGGTCCGCCCAAGCAGCTGTACAAGGTTCCTAAAACTCCCCCGAGATCACCACCTCTTTGTGAGTTTAGCCTTCTCTTGAGGCTTGGGGATTGAACACACACCAGATTGCTCTACCTAACACGCCTAGGCCTTACTCATTACACTTGAGTAGGGAGAGAGAGGGTCTTTGTGTGTGTGTATCTCCAGGTTGGTGGGAAATATGACGTGTACAGTATATCTTAAAAGAATCTGGACATTAAGATTCCTGTGTTGGATTTCCCTCGTGACTTACTTGAATGTTTAAATACAATTGACTCGTTTAGTTAAAGTTACGGTACAAATAAATATAAGTATAATTAAAGTTACGTTCACTAGTCCAAATTAGGGAACAAAATTAGCGTCTTAAGAATCATCTGTTAATACCTGGGACACCTCTAGTTTACCTAACCTTACATATACGGATATGAGAGCAGTGCCGGTCATGCTACCTCTATTTGTTCCGAGATTAAATTTCGTCAACAATGTGCTGTATCGGCCTACGAGACCGACTGTCACTTCAAGATGAACGAAACTAATCAAAGTAAAGTCTTAGTGTACTACTGAAACCATCTTATTTCGCCTTTAGACTAGCCTAACGCAACCTAACCTAACTTAACCTAATCTACCCTATCCTAAACTACTCTAACCTACCCCCTCCCCATTTAACATTTGGTTGGGTAATCATAAGGTGAAATAAACTAGGATGTCTAACCTTCAGGTGATCCTACAATAATTATTCACTGCATGAACCACAGATATACCAGCCCAGGTAATGAACGATTTACCCAAAACAAGGGAACCTGTTCACGTCAGCCTCGGTATTTGTAATCTCAATTAAAAAAGAAAAAGTTGATATTGGTTTTGATAACTGTTAGTATAAAAATATTCTACTCGTTGATTTGATATAGAGAGCTGATAATGAATTCCCGTGGTTCTGGCAGTGAGAGGGAGAAAAGAGAGAAAAGAGGAGGGAGAGTGATAAAAATAGAGGGAGTGGGAGAAATGAGAGAGGGAAATGAGAGGGAGGGAGAGGGAGTGAGAAAAGGGGAGAGGGAGTGAAGAAACGGGAGAGGGGGAGAGTTTTTTAGTTTAACAAATTTCTTGACAAAGCTTGTAGTACAGTTTACCTTTTCTGTGTAATTCAGTCAGGTCTTGACACTGAGGGTGGTATCACTTCTCACTGCCACACAGGACAGAGGTTCATACACAGAGAAATAGATCATATTCATTAGCAGTATATATAGGTCAGAGTCATGTGGGTGATGTCACTGTTCACTGCCATGCAGGACAGAGGTTCACATACATTGGACGTCATATTCTAATTGAAGACTAATCAGTGTGGTCTAGCAAATTTTCGATAAATAGCAAGAATGTCCTCAAGCACCCCTGATTCAATGTAGTAATTACAAAGTTCATGATACAATAAGCCAGGTGGCCTGAAGTCTTTGACAGTGTCACATTCAATAATATAGTGTTCAAGTGTATGCTTTAAAGGTTTATCACAAAGTTTACATGCTGAGTGTTCCGGTATGGGTACAGCGTTACTAACTTCCCAGATGTGTCTGTATCCTAGCCAAATTCTGGCCACGACTACATCACATTGTCTAGTTCTGTCCTTATGCTGGCCATACCGGTACCTCTCGTCAAAAAATTTGTCATATTTACTAATGCTACAACTGCCAGGTCGCGTGAGAGAAGGAGAGGAAAGGAAGAGTGTGGGTAAAAAAAAGTGAGAAAGAGGGGGGATACATACATACATACATACATACATACATACATACATACATACATACATACATACATACATACATAGAAACTAAATAGACAGGGAAACAGAATAACAGAAAGGAAGGCAAAGACAATAACCAAAATTGAAGCTCCTACTAACATATACAGTACAGGGTTGATAAATAAAGAATAGAGAGAGACACAAGATAATGCTGATGATGATGGGAATAAGAAAGAGGAGAGATTACAGAGACAAAAGAAATTGTCAAGATATAAAGGGGGAATAAGGAAAAAGGAAAAGGTGGTATAATAATGTGGTGATAAAGAGAGGAAACAGGAGAAATAAAGATGTGTTGATATAAGAGGAATGAGGAAGAGGCAAAAAACTTCAATAGTGTGATAATTAAGCCAGAAAACAGGAGATATGAATAAATATTAAGATAATTGATGGAATTAAGGAAGAGATGAATGTATGAAGTTGAAAACATAATGGATAGAAAAATAAATAAAATATAAATAATACGTCAACGTAATAGACTAGACATTTTAGAAGGAAATCTATGAAGAACAAAAACACAGAAACGAGACAAAGAGAAAGAGAAAAAATAATAATGGAGAATAGATTTTACTAAAGAAGGTAAGCGAACATTAGTCTGGGTTAGTTTCCATAATCGTGTCACTGCAGAGTAAAACCGAAAGCCAAGAGCTGCCTTCTGAGTGCTTGTACTGGCCTTGTTCTCCTCACCTTACGGGGTGTAATGATGTCATTTATTTTTACTAAGTGGAGTCGTCTCTCCGTTTATTATTTCAGGTGACACTCCGGGCTTCATTCAGTGCCACGAGGGGTCAATTTGTGCCACTTTTTTATAATTCAGATGGCAGGAGGTGAGGGTTATTGTGTCGTGATGTGGGTGACAGCGAGGATAATGATGAGTCAGCACATCCAGCCAGCTCTGTCCTGTGTCACAGTGTATGTATACTTATGGGGAAGATAAATACTACCGGAGCCTCCTGTCATATCACCTCACCAGTATCATAATGTAGATGACAAGGGAAAGGAAATCCTGTAAAGTTTCCTGATGATCACGACCGTTCAGTCAGCTCAGTGTCATGGCCTGGGAGGATTGACAGGTGGAGGCAGGATGGTTAAAGTCGCCGTAGTCACGTCTCTGTAGCCCAGTTAGCTATCATGGATGAGTTGACAGAGGAAGGAGAAGCAAATTCTTGAGCGGAAAGTTGAAGTATGCTGCAAGTTCTTCCTCAGCCTCCCTGTGGCCGTCAAAGGAAGGTAGAAGCACTTTGATGAGGAGCTTCCATCACGGTATCGCTCCCAGGCCGTTTAGTCATAATGTGCCAGGAAATACTCTTACAATAACAGTTGGTGAAAAGAGTCGAGAATTTTTACATTTCGCAAACGTTGGCATTTTCGGTTTCTCTTACTCCCAGAAAATGGTTTTGTCTTGTTTTGTAAAATTTGGTCTCCTTCACTAGGCTAAAATTTAACTTCGTCATCGAAAAGGTTATTTGCTTGTT